CCTTCATGGGTATTCTGCATTGCATAAGCAGTGACAGGGGTTAAAAACAAAATGAAAACACAAACAGTGTTTGTCTTTCCTTGATTCTTGGAACCATGAGTCTCCCCTTCTAGCTTAGTCACCAGAGCCAAACTGAGCACAAATGTCTCCTACATATAGCAGGCTTCATAAATGTCACTTCGATAACTGTGGAGACGCTGAGAATAGAGTCTGAAATGGTGACCTGGGTCCTTTCGTAGCTAACCATGCCTTATCCTTGCCTCCTTCATTTCTTTCCTATTTGGGTGGCTTAAATGATGAGGGGGGAGGGGCTTAGCTAATTTCTGCCAAATATGAGCGGGAATAAAAAACTCTATTTCCATACCAATTGAAAAATTATTTTAAATCAAGCCTTCAATTGCAGCTGACCTAGACCGCATCAGCCTTTGATTAGTTCAACATAACCAGTTACTCATATCTCCTACAGGTCAGGCCACATTTTTATTTTTTCCTAGTGCTATTATGAATAGTGTGCCTATTTAACCCTTCAGACAACTCTGAGGTAGGCAGGGTGGGGATTATTAGAAGGAACATCTCGGAAGGAGCGAATGACTCATCCAGGTTCCCAGAGCCTGTGTGTGCATAGTGGGCGCTGTGCAGTGTTGCTCACCTTTCCACATTAAAAAGTGACTGCTGTGTTCCTGGATAAGAGGGTGTACTTAACATCCTGTTCATGTGTCAGAGTCCACATTCTCCTCCCGAAGCTAGAGCTGACAGACTATGCCAGCCTTAACAAGGACGTCCCAAAAGACTTGGTGTTCCCTTCACCTTGGTGTCACTGATAAGGCGGGAAAATCTTCAGGTTTCCCCAAAATCTCACCAGTGTCCCTAATCTCAAAGGGCAGGGCTTAGCACACAATGATGACAAGCTGTCCATTGGGCTTGATCTTTCCCATCTCCTAACACACGCGCGCGCGCGCGCGCGCGCGTGCGCACACACACACACACGCGCGCCCTCCTCCCCTGACCAAAAGATAACAGTAAGCAGAAGCAGAGCTTATGAATTTCCATTATGCTTAACTGATTTCACATAGTTAATGGATTCATTTATTAGAGCAATTTGTGTAAATCCCTAAGCACCTGCTAAGGCTGCTGCTTAATAGTTTTATCACATCATAGACTTTCTTTATTCCTGTCCTTTAACCAATACTGGAGTGGCAAGGAACTTGGACCAACCACTGTTGAAAATATTGGTAAACTGTAATGAAGCAACAAAGCGGGGGTGGGGGGGTCATGCCTGTGGGGTTTCTCCTTCAGAAGCAAAAAGGGAGTTCATTTTTTTAAGTTTCAACTGGTTCATAAATGCTGCTTCCACAGTCTATCAACTTCACGTTGACTCAAGGCTTATTTTCAGGAGTCAACATGTTCCCTTCAGGTTTCTAGGCATAAATCTGCACTGAAGGGTGATGGGAACAACCTGAAGTCGGTACAACCACCCCATTACTGACCTTCTTACTGGGGGGAGCGGGCAGAGAGCAGAGTCATGGCCTTGTATAACTGCAGGTGGCACTGTGATCAGGAGGGAGGTGGTGCCCGCTGGCCTCTGGCAGAGGTCACTTAGCTGGGGAGAGCCCCACAGTGACAAAGTCCAGGCTGCATGGCTTACACACACGTGAGGATGCAGGCATTAGTATAATCCCTCGGCCAGAGCTGGTGCCTCCCTCCTCAGCCCGCCTTCTGGTGTATCTGTGCCCCTCCATCCCAGCGGGATGGAAGAATGCAAATGGATAGAGCCACATCCATACCTAACACTTAGGAAACGTCTCCATGGAAGCTCCCCACCTGTGTCGGATCTAGACAGGAGGACTTCCTTAACATGCACAATCAGGGGCACACGGGGGCCTCCACTGGAGAAAACCCAGGCACAACAAGAAACAAAATCCTTCCCACCTAAGAGTGACAACACAAATGGCTATTTGTATAGTTAAATGGCAACCACTAGTATATAACTGTTATCTCCTGTACCTTAGTAAGTATTTGGGGAAAATTTGATAAAACAAAAAATATGGATTATCTCTTAGTTTTATTTTGAGGAAGTAGGTGGTCTAGTAATTGTTGTGTGCTAATGGATGGGTGATGGGTAACGAGATTCATGTTTGGAAGAAGTAAACTGCTTTATATCAGAAGGGATCCAGAAACTAGTGGAGTGAGAGGGAGATAAGAGAGGCTGGGTATAAAAAGGGTTGAGTAGAGAGACAGAATGAGAGAGAAAAGCGGAGGTGGGCACAGAGACTTAGAGGCTTGTGGATGAAAGAGAAGGGCTCAGAAGAAAGAGGGAGTGAGGGTTTGGGAAGGAAATGCAGTGTGCTGTGCAGGGCAGACCCTGCCATCTTCCCTGTGAGATAGATGTAAATAAAATTTATTTTCTACCTGTTTTTGTATTATGTGTTAAGAGCTGGACAGAGCCTCATCGTATGAGAAGGGGTGTGTGGGACAGTCTGAATTTAAATATAGTTTATACGGTGCATGCAATGTTCTCTTTGGGGGTCCTCGGGGGGACTTCAACCTATAGCAAAAAGTAGGGACAGTGCCTGGCCTGTGTGGCTGCAGAATGAGAGATGGAGCAGAAGCATTAAAATGCTTAGAACGGAAGAAACAAATGGAGGCTTCCAACAGGAACCCTAATCCCAAAGTCGCCAGGACAAATTATCTAAATTGTTGCCTTCATTTATAGTGAAATTAACTTCTGTGGAGCAGCTCCATGAGGCTGCTCCCAGGAATGGATGGATGGGTGGCTCGTTAGCATGCGGAATACAAGAGGCTGGCTGGCCTCCTGCGACATTCACAGGGCTCCTTAACACTGGTGATGTGCTTTCTCCTGGGGAATGAGATGATGCCTGCGGTCCCACTACAAGGCTGCCATGGGGGCGAAAGCCAACACTGGTGGTGGTGGAAATAGCCAACTTCTGGGTCACAAATAAATAATTTAATGAATGACAAGCTCATGGGAGTAGTTGTATGTGCCAGGCAATGGTAAAAACCCCACTTCTGGTAAGACAGTAGTTCCCCCTTATCCATGGGGGATACATTGCAAGACTCCCAGTGGATGCCTGAAACCAAAGATAGTACCAAACCGTATATATACTATGTTTTTCCTATATATACATACCTATGAAAAAGTTCAATTTATAAATCAGGCACAGTAAGAGATCAACAATAACTAATAATAAAATAGATTATAGTAACATACTGTAATAAAAGTTATGTGAATGGCTTTGGGGCCATTATGAAGTAAAGTAAGGGTGACTTGAACACAAGCACTGATACTGAGATAGTTGATCTGATAACCAAGAAGGCTACTAAGTGACTAATGGGTGGGAGCATCTGCAGTGCGGAGTTTCTGGACAAAGCGATGATTCACGTCCCAGGCAGGACAGAGTGGGACAGCTCGAGATTTCATCACGCTACTCAGAACGGGGTGCAATTTAAAACTTATGAATTATTTCTGGAACTTTCCATTTAATATATTTGAACTACAGTTGGCCATGGATATTTGAAACCACGAAAAGCAAAGCCATGCATAACGGGGGACTATTATAATACTGCCGTATCGGTGAGGTCACTTAACCTTTTCCTGGTGATTAAGGGCAAGTTAGGGTTTTGTTTCAAGGGACGCCTCTTGAGGCTCAGCCCTACCACTTACCGGCTGTTGTCCTTGGACAGGCCATTGAACATCTCTAAGTTTTGGGTTCATTTCATAAAAATTGGGGATAATATTAGTGTCGGTCTCAAGGGGTTACAGTGAGGATGACATGAGTTAACTTATAGCCCAGAATATGTTTATAATGATGACGATCATTATTATCATAAGGCCACTTGATAACCAATGTGTACAATCGGCATCTACTCACACTTATGAAGGCCCCGCGTTAGTGTCCTGGTCTCTTATCCCGTCTTACACAGTCCTTAGAGTCACCAGCACTTCATTCTCCTAAATGGTGGGACAAGTAGATGCTTTAAAATTCTAATGTTCATTGGCTTTGTTTTTTAATCCTTAGAGGTATAACTGATACGTTTTTACACGAATATAATGATAAATTTTTATATAGTGGAGATATATATATATATATATATATATATATATATATATACACACACACACACACAACATTAGAGGATCATAATATGCAATATGGTGGTTTCTGTGTCATTATCCCATTAGAAAATAGTTAGGATGAATATGGCCTTTGTACAAGGGACACTTTCTCTGTGTGATGTGAGGATACATGGAGAGCTGTGAAAGCAAGCAATAACTTGCATAGCCTTCATAATGATCTGTCTTAAAAAATTTACCTTGGTGCAGTGTTTTCCCTTTGAAAACCCCACATAACATCCCCATGTGCTTTTTTCCCCAGTTCTGGTTCTGTTCCCCCCAGCAAACCAAGAATTTCCCTGTACACCTTAACCCATGGCCACCTCTATTGTGGGAGGCCTAGAAGGCCGCCATGCCTTTTCCTCTAGGCCTCAAGTGCCCGGGCTCTCTGGGCTATCTGTGCACCTGGGCTTGGCGGTACTTAGTCAAAACAGTGGGAGGGCGGAGGGCAAAACCTCAGTGCTGGCCTTTCAGCCTTTGTGGGTTTCAGCCAGACCCCGAGTGTTATTTTAGGGCAACTTCGGTGTTTAATTTGAGGATGTGTGTGGATCAGAAGGAGGGACCAACACATTATTTTTTTTTCCCTTGGCCAAATGATTAAATTTAAAGTTCTAAAAAACGCACAGCTTGATCCGAAGCTGTGTCCAATTGGGAAGTGAGAAATGCCCTGACAATCCCTCCCATGCCAGGACCAGCCTTCCTTAACCGCCGGCCACCGCAGAGGCCCGTTACTCTGGGCATCACCTGGGCAGCCTGTGGTTCCCAACCAACCAGAGCCCTGGGCCCCAGGGCTGCCCTTCCCTTCCTAAAAGTGTAAGCTGCACCTTTGCTGGGAGAACGTTCTATAGGTCTGTTTCATTTCTTGCAGCCTTGAAAGCACCACACCCGGCAGCTGCTGAGCCATGGCTGAAGGGGAAATCTTCACGTTCACAGCCCTGACTGAGAAGTTTAATCTGCCTACAGGGAATTACAAGAAGCCCAAACTTCTCTACTGCAGCAACGGGGGCCATTTCCTGAGGATCCTTCCCGATGGCACAGTGGACGGGACAAGGGACAAGAGCGACCAGCACAGTAAGCACCCACGTCTCTTGTAGCCCCTCGCCTGTCTGGTGTCTTCTTCAGTCAAGGATAGGAAAAGGGAGGAGATCTAAGCACTGGGACCCTCTTCTCCAGGGTTCTATTCAGGCACGGCACTCAGAGGCGGGGTCACATAAATGTGGAAAAGGTCTGGGTGTGGAAAACAGAGAGTTGTGGGGGCTACAGCATACCCCAAGGGGACTCTCTGTTGACTTACACAACTGCTCTGAGGTCAGATGTGGCTGCTCCAGATTTCTGTAACTAGAGGAAGGTCTGGCCCCTAAAGCTGGTCAGGGCCCTGTTTGCGCCATCACGGAGCTGCATGGGGCAGGGGCGGTAAGCGTTGCACAAAGGCAAGGAAGGGCTCAGGTTCAAGTTTACTAACGCTCCGGGGTACCATTTCCACTGGGTTTGATTTGTGAAATCCTAGTTCAAAATCATAGCCTTACACATCATAAATTATGCAGCTTTTACTCTGTATATCGTGCAGATGTGGTTGTGGTAACCGGGAGGGTTTAGTCAAGTCATTCTCCAGACCCTATAGAAACTGGAGAGCAAGGGCGATTTGAGCCAAAAGCTGCATATATATCTCTTCCGGGCTTTCCTGCCAGCCCAGCTCTCAGATGGTGTTGAGAAATGGAGGTATAACTTGGCGGGGGGGCGGGGGGGACCCCTTCTTGACTATCTAAGAATAAAAACGTCTTCCTTGTGCTTTAGTGCTTCAGGTGTTGGTGTATGTGGTATTAGGTGTCTGGGTCCTGCTGTGATGTTAGGAATTCCCTGAGTTACCACCTGAGGCGTTAGATGTTGCAGAGGAGCTTAAAGTCAGATATGGTCCCTGCTAAGAGGGTCTAAAGGGTCAAACATGTCATGAATCAGGAAAACACAAGTGTGCATGAAACCAGGCGCCACAGAATAGCACAGGTAGAAAGTAAAGTTGTCAGGTGGCTATAAAATGAAATGCAAACCTTGATGTGACTTGATGTGACTGTTTCTATATCACATAGTCTTAACTGTTCATGGAATATGCACCGCAGGTAGCAGGCTCTGAGTACCAATGGCCACCCCTTGGCGCTAGCTTTCTACCCTCAGATGCGCAGGTCACGGGGATGGAAGCCGGTGCTTATGAACCAGGTTACACTGTTGCCCCTTCCCACCCACCACTGACCCTTGAGGCAGGGAGCAGGAAGGCTGAGATTGGGGCTCGTAGCTGCACGGTTAGATTTTGGGGGCCTTGTTTTGAAGGTTTGTCATCAAATGGGCCTTCTGAATAACTTACATCGATGAAAACTAGGCACCACAGTGAGGCAAAAAAGACAACTTAGTATGTCAAACGCGCAGAAGCAACGTTTACCACAAACAAACGGACTTAGATTGTAGTCTGTTGTGTCAGGCAAGTCACCCAGTTTGTGTAATCTGCACCACATAACACAAGGGGAACACGCTTTAATTTCTCTAAGGTTTTTTTTTTTTTTTTTTTTAGCTGAGCCATCCCGCCACCTGTTGGCAGCTCACGGCTGCTCAGCTCGGGCTGACTCGAACCACTGTTGCTCAGAGCTCAAACTCTTGAGCGAGCTCTTAACCAACTGAGCCACTCAGCCGGCCCTCTCTAAGGTTTTAAATGTTTCTAATCAGTTTTACCGATTTTCTGAACCAACGGGAATGCTCTCTGGCCCTCAGGATCTCAGGGGAAAGACAACCTTGGTGATGTGTTCGCTGGGGTTAAGCTGGCTCTTCCGGGAAACCTTGAATTCTGGGGTGACAAGAGGCTCCCATTACAGTTTCCAAGTACTAGAATTTCTTTGCAAATGGCCTATGACTGTTGTCATTCCATCATCACCATATAGACTGCACTCTGAGTAGGTAACACTGGGACAATTTCAGAACAGAGCTTCAATGTGGCCGCCTGACCTAAGATGTCAGGAACCCTTGGAATGCAGCCGAAGGTAGACTTGGGGATGGGAGGAGGGGTGGGGAGTGATGACATCTGAGTCCAAGTAATGCTGGATTCATTATTTGCCCAGTGAACCTGGGCAAGTGACTTAACCTTCCTGGCCTCGTTTTTCTCACTTATAAAATAACACTTGCTTCACAGGTTTCTTGAAAGGATTAAATGAGATAATGTAGTAACAGTTCTTGGCACAGTCCCTTGGCCCAGAGTAACATCTCGGCACACGTTGGTTAATATTGCTCTTGTCATCGTCGCCGTTGTCATCATCATCAAGATTTCCATATAGTCAACCCAGTGTATGGAAATGCAGTATAATACGTAAGGACCTTCCCCAGGCTTCTCTCTTCAATAATTCTGCTTCCTATGAAGGCCAGGGGTCTAGCTTTGGGTTTTGACTCAGTGCCTCTCTGGCAACATTCAGAGTTGTTGTACTGGTCTGTTTACTTATTCTAGAACTGAGAACAAGGGTCAAGGAGGACAGGAATCAGAGCAAGTGGGGTGAGTGAGCAGAAACCCATCCCTGTACCTGCCAAAGCCAGGAGAACTGGATAATCCACATGCCCCTCTGCAGAGCCAGGGGCCCGAGAGTTAGAGTCAGAAGGCTTGAGCTCATATTCCTGCCCTGCCACTTTCTGGCACCGCACAATTACCGTTCTCTCCATTTTTGCACAAAGTGCTCAGCAAAAGCAGCCTCAAGTCCCCAGCCCCATGACCCTTCCAATCATCCTCTCCTATCCGGACCTTGAGATGTCTCCGGTGTTCCCAGCTGTCTTGTCTTGGGGAAAATATTGAGAGTCAGCTTCATCACCCATGGAATCATAACACTGCCTTGTGTGCTTGACAAGGCTGAAAACCCATGAGATCCTGTAGACTGAGAGGGCTCCCTGGACTGAATGCGCCCAGTGAATGTGGTTCTGTCGCCCTCTTCTGGGCATTGGCGGTACTGCCTCAGCTCTTCCGAATTTCAGTGATCATTCCACAGAATCAACCTGGACAGGCATGGAGTGGATGATCAGGCTAATTGATAGTACAGTCTGGCGAGGGGATGCTTTCTATGCCTTGATCACTATTTTGCGCGTGACTAGAGACTGTGGTCACAGGTAGAGAGCCACACACTAAGATTTCTTTCAGGAAGAATTATTTCTAAAAGCCAATCAAATATTTAAATAAATCTACATAAAGCAGACAAGATAGAACTGTCATGCCTTCCAGCTCTACAAGGCAAATAAATAAATAAATAAATAAACCCTTTCACAGCTTCTCTTTGTCCCCAACCAGTAGATCTGCCCTGAGCAAAATTGGGACGTTTTCAAAATTTGTCTTCTTCCTTCCTCCAGGAGTATAAATTCTAAAGTATGTAACATAATACCTCTCTCTTGGAGTGGTCTAAACCCCAGATGGGTGCTTGTGCACAGGCCCTTGTAATGCAGGCCTGAGCAAAATGCCTCCACTGGTGGGAACTTCCGGCCTGTAGGGAAGATGGTTTGGTTTGTCCCTATACATTTCCTCACATTACGGCGGTAGGAAGTTTCCACTACAGACTGTGAGCGTTTGTTCCGTCGCCATATTGCAAATGCCAGGCAAAAGCAGAGTAAGAGCTGCACAGTGTGAGACGGGGCATGGGTGCCGGTTGTGAGAAGACCCATGTTGACTCCCACAGCTTTACTTTGGGAGATGGGTAGATGGAGGTGTCACCACGAGAGGGAAAAGTCTGGAAGGGGAACAGGCACAGGGAAAGACGGCATTTGAGGAGTGCCTCGTGTACCAGGAGTTGTAATTCCACAGGTATTTGTGAGATTATTTCATGGTTTATCCCCCATGGTCTCCCTGAGGATGGAGACTTTGTCTCTTAAAGTCCAACAGTGCAAGTTTTGTGGCTAGCACATTGCCTCGCACTTGGTACAATGTCCAACAAACATGAATTTGATGAGTGAATGAACTGCATGGGTAGCAGATAAATCCAAGTTCAACAATATGTTCAATAAATCCCAACTGAGCACCGGGACGTGCCAGGCATTGCACTAGACTCTCACTTCTGCCACCCACAACCCCGTGAGGTTACACAGTATCATCGCTGTGTGAACACTGGGCTGACAGGGCCTGTGACCAGCCAGTAACTGGGAAAGCTCAGCACCAACCCTCAGCTTCTTCTTCCAAGACTAAGGCTCCTTCTGTATCCCACCACTGCCCCTGACATCAATGCCATGGCAGGTGTTTCGCCCCACAAACTGATTAAGTAAACATACCCGAGTCGCACCATCTGCCATATGGGTCAGATGGAGGTAGGCACAGGTCTCATCACCACTGTTTACTAGACCCATATCATCTTGGGAAAGTCACTTCTCCTCCATGTACCTCAGTTGCCTCATTTTAAAAACAAGGATGGCAGAACCATCAACAAAATGAAGACAACCCACTGAATGGGAAAATATATTAGCCAATGATAGAGCCAATGAGGGGTTGATAGCCAAAATATATAAGAAATGCATACAACTCAAAAACAAGAGTAAACAATCTGATCAAAAAATGAGCAGAGGACATGAAAAGACATTTCTCCAAAGAAGACATACAGATGGCCCACAGAAATATGAAAAGATGCTCAACATCATTAATCATCAGGGAAATGCAAATCAAAACCACAAGATACCATCTCACACCTGTCAGAAAGGCTATTATTAAAAAGTCAACAAATATCATGTATTGGCAAAGAAGGATGTGGGGAAAAGGGAACCCTGTGCACTGTTGGTGGGACTGTAAGTTGGTGCACCCACTATGGAAAACAGTAGGGAGATTCCTCAAAAAACTAAAACTAGAACTACCATATGATCCAGCAATTCCACTTCTGGGTATTTATCCAAAGAAATCAAAAACACTAATTCAAAAAGATATATGCACCCCTATGTTCACTGCAGCATTATTTACAATAGCCAAGATATGGAAGTAACCTAGATGTCCATCGATAGACGAATGGAGAAAGATTATATATATAATGGAATATTACTCAGCCATAAAAAAGAATGACATATTACCCAACACCATGGAT